AATCAATGGCCGATGCCACAAATTTCAAGTCCTACCATTCAGGATAGCAATAGCACCTTGGCTATTCACCAGAATTACAGCGCCAGTAATCAAGTTCTCCCATCTTCAGCTAGTTCGAATCTATGGTTATCTGGACGACTTCTTAGCGGCAGACCAAGGGAAAAACCAGCTACATCAGAACATGATATTCTTGGTCCAGCTTATGACTTAACTAGGTTTCCTAGTCAACCCAGCCAAGTCAGAGATCACTCCAGTCCAAGACATTATATACATGGGAGCAAGATTCCAGCTAGACCGGGGATATCTATTTTTCCAGAAGACTGATTCGACAAGACTATAAAGATGATCCAATCAATCTCAAGTCAACCCAGCAAGTCGCTGAGGTGGTGGATGTCTCTGCAAGGCAACTTAACATCTCTACAGGATAAGACCTTCAGAGGAAGACTGATGCTAGGTCCTCTACAGACATGGGTCAACTCTATACGATCGAAGGACCTAGAATTCCAGTCTCAGTTACCTCCCACTTTGCTACAAGACCTCTATTGGTGGAATCACAGAGAACATGTGATGAGTGGCATCCCTCTGACTTATCCGACGCCAGAACATCATCTATTCACAGACGCGTCAGATTTGGGATGGGGAGCTCATATGGACGATCTCACAGTACAGGGATTGTGGAACACAAAGGAGAAAAACCTTCATATCAACTGCAAGGAAATGAAAGCCATATATTACACCATCCTGGAATGGAGAACACAACTTCATCTATCATCGGTTCTCATAGCCACGGACAACATCACAGTAGTGGCATATATTCTGAAGCAGGGAGGAACCAGATCCAACTCCCCGATGATGGAGTCTACACAATTGTTTGCCTTGGCAGACTCCTTCAACTGCTGGATGGAAGCGAGACATACATCCGGGAAACTGAACATACTGGACGACAGTCTTTCATGTTGGGGGAGAATAGTGGCAACAGAATGGACATTACATCCTCAGATCTTCACCTGGATAACCAAGATATGGGACATACCACATCTAGATCCATTCGCCACCTGCCAGAACAACCTACTTCCAGTTTATGTCAGTCCAGTTCCCGACCCAAGAGCTCACCAGATCGACACTCTTTCGATGGATTGAACGACTATTCGGCTATGCATTCCAACCATGTTCTCTCCTAGACAAAGTCATCCACAAGGTGGAGAAGACAGATTGCATAATAATACTGATAGCCCCAGTATGGTCAAGCAGGGCATGGGTCCCCAGACTATTAAAGCTACTAATGGAGGAATCCAGACAGTTACCACTTCGTCGAGATCTGCTACAACAGCCCAGGTCCAGCATATTCCATGAAAATCTGCCAAGCCTACATCTTACCACCTGGAAGTTATCGTGCAGAAGATCAAACATCCGGATACTCTGAGCTTGCCTCATGGCGACCTTCATCCTCCCTTTTATATGACAACAGATGGGACAAGTTTGTCCAGTGGAGAAGACGAGTAGGGATTGTTGATAATGCTGTATCAATCCCTATGATAGTGGACTTCGTTCTTCATCTATGTCAAGACAATAAATTCAGACACGGTATAATAAAGGTTACAGATCACCCCTTCATTTTGTACTTCAACATGATTGATTGTCTATCAGGAACCATTCCATCCTCAACAGAATAATCAAATCCTTTCTGCTAGAAGATATTAGGACCCCTCGTATCTTCCCCAAGTGGAATCTATCTGTGGTATTATTGGCACTGTTAATGGAACCTTATGAACCCATTGCGAAGGCTACCCTACTTCAAAAAGCCAGGAAAACATTGTTTCTGCTAGCCATGGCTACAGCAGCAAGAGTTACATGCCTTAGAGTATTCTAGTCTTACCCATGATTATTTTGGACTTCTATAACTGTAAGATCATTCGCAGAATTCGTAGCCAAGAACCGATCTACCACAATGGGACCATTTGGTCATAGACACTGTACAATCCTGACATTAGGACCAACAGTGGATCAACCAGACAGACTCTTATGTCCCATCAGAACTCTCAAGCTCTATCTCTTGGCTACAGACCCACATCGACGCCATCCAAGGAGACTCTTTCTATCCTGTAAGACCAACTCGAACAAAGATATCACAAAGGATACTTTAGCAGGATTGATGAAGGCTACATTTGCACAAACCTATACACAGGCTCAGAATTCCACGCCACGCCTCGGATCCTGCTCAGCTCACAAAATAAGAGCCCTAGCCATGAGTCTAGTCATAGACTACAGTTTCAGTAGAACAAGTAGTTTCCAGCTCTCAGTGGGCCTCACAAAACAGCTTCACCAACTGTTACTTATATGACATGGAGCCAGACCTAGAGGGCATGTATTCCCTTGGTCCTGTGGTCGCAGCGAAAACTATCGTTGGGGGGCACGAGCAGTATCAGAGGGTAAGTACACCCTTTATTACTCTGCTTATTAGGTGTAAGATGGATTAGAATCACCTTAAATGTAATCTATCACCATTAACTGGAAGTGACATCATTACCGGAAATAGCTAAACAAAGTCCTTCTAACCAGGAAATGACGTCTTGGGGGTAAAAATAGACCTAAAGAGACGTCATTACCAAAAAGGGGGAGTGACGTCATAATCGGAAGTGACATCAGAACCGGTATTATAGGTCACGAATCCAAGTTTATTATGATAATTAAAACTAGTGATAATATCACATATTTGACTTATTTTGACATAGTTTCTGGTTTTTAAGTCCTCAAGGGGAAATTCAGAGGAAATTATTTCAGTAGGATTAGGATCAGTTAATTATGGTTTTTCGGACCTGTGAAGATTCCGGGGTAGAATAGATGTTCAGCAACCCATGCTTGCCGTAAAAGGTGACTATGCTTGTAGTAAAAGGCGACTAACGGGATCGGGTGCACGTGGTCAGGCTCGCTGACTTGGTTGATGCATGTCATCGATCCCAATTGCGTGGGTCGATGCTCGTGATATCAATCACTGGATTGTCTGGTCCAGACTCGATTATTTACAGACCGCCGTCATATAGCTGGAATATTGCTGAGTGCGGCGTTAAACAACAAACCAACCAACCAACCATTATGGTTTTCCAGAAGAGGATTGCTGTCAAATACACAGGGAGTTACTAGAGGCAGATCCCATCAGGGTCCCTCTGGTATATTCTGGCAGATATGTAATAGAGGTAGAATTTTCTTAAGAATTATCGAACAATAGTTATCATTGTTAATAATTCTAAGAATACTACCTCTATTTCATACAAATTTCTTACTCCCACCTCCCCAATTCATCTTCCTCTAGTAGGAGATGAGGGAAAAAAGTGAGGTTATGACATCATGGCATGGGTAGTTATGAGACTACTTGGCAACAACTAGTTTTAATTGACAGTGAAGAGGATGTTTGTTGAAAATCTGAAAATGTTAGTTAGTTTGATTGAAGCCAAAATACAGGATATATGTCAGATAAGTAAAAGAGGTAGTATTCTTAAAATTATTAACAATTATTGACAACAATTGTTCAATGATCAAATGTACATGTTACTATAGAAATACAGGGAAATCAGTCACTTGTTTACAGTTTAAAATTACATTGAATACTTTTAACTAGTCTAATCATTTAGAATATATACTTCAACCATATATGGATGGAAAAAAACATCTATCGAAAGTTAGTTTCCATATTTTAGAAGATGGATAAAAAAAATCCCTCAATATGCAGTGGCATTTCATTGACATCATACAGTGTCATGTAACAAGGTTATGTGTACACTGTAGTGATGTCAACATACCGTATTTTCTTTAGTATAGTGCGCACCCATGTATAATGCGCACCCCCCTCTAGCAGATTCAGTATTTTGGAAAAAAGAATGTGAATGTCAAGTGCAAAAAAAAATTACACCGTATCTACTCCTTCAGTGAATTCCAGTAAACGAACAAATTCGAAATTACCTTGTGTAAACTAAGCCGGAAACAGCAATCAGCTGTACACAGGTTTTCTTGGAATCTACCGGTGATTTGGTCAAGACACAGCCAATGATATAACTTTACAGGATTTTAATACAAAAGATCGGCAAAAATTGTATCTGAAACTTTTTTTTATATAACAGGAATAATATATCCCAATATCTTGTTAATTTAGTTGCAGCTTTTACTAAACATATTTTAAATAATAATAACTCTAAGCGAAGCAGCTGATCGCTATTGCCGGTTATTATTTTTCACATGGAACCAGTCTGACCAGTCACCGTCAAGGCTCCCGCGCACGTGATCGCATGATCGCGAGAACTACGTGTTGACATAGAATTGTAAAACTATAACAAATATGACTTTTAACGAGTCAAAGTATGGCATTTATGATATATGTATCCATTCTCTGTTAACTAATGTTCGTTTCAAGGCGTCAATAGCGGTAATCTGACCGTGGTTGCTGTTAATAATGGTGAATTGTGCGATCTTCCGATCACTTCACACACGATTTGGCCGAAATGAATTAAAACAATGTTAAAAGGAATTTTAAATAAAATTAATGAAATAAGTTACATACATAAGTCCAGATATACAAAGAACACTTTTTATAGCCAGACAGTGTAATTACCATGGTATTTCCGGTGTTACGTGTTCACAGTAATATCTTTCCATGGGGAAAAAAACATCAAAATTCATCACAGCCTTTACACAGCTGTGTTTTTTTTTAAAAAAAGTGTGCACTATACTCAAGAAAATACAGTACCCTTTTCTCATAAGCATGACGAGACCTGCCATAAAATGAAACTAATGATCTGTTAGTTTGAAATATTATGCAATATCTTTGACAGTTTTGATTTTCAGACGATATATGATATATGATTGTGAGACTGACAACCCACAACAATTAGAGTTGCACCATGAATGCAAAATCATACCAGCAGACATTATAAGTCTACAAACATTTTCCACAAATGCCATTTACTATCGCCCCGAAGATTACTTTCAATTTTCTTGTATATTTTCAGTCACAATTGGAAGGACTCCCTAAAGTAATTGCCCAAAACCTTATTGCCCACCAGCAAGAGCAGCAGGACCAACGATATTTACCTGCAGATTGTGGGCCTACTGTCCGTCGTTTTTCACCACCATCTCGAAGAAGGCGACATTTCCCTGTACCCCTCAACAATTCTTCCAGTCAGATATAGTCCAAAATGAAAATTGCTATCAAAGAACATTTCTGTATGGCAAGAAGAATGGACTGAAGATTGGGGAAGTAAAGAGGTTTGACATTCCTGTGAAAGTGAAATTGTCATACAACATCTGTCTGCTCTGCCTCTTATTGCAGGTAGAAGTCAGGAATTACAGGCACTGTTATGTGTGTTAAGTTTTGCAGACCCTCCATTTCCATACCATGCTCTCTCAGTGCCATTCCACCATGCAAAAAACAACAACCCAAAAGCCATGTGAATATTTTATCGCCACAATATCTAATGGCTAAAATTCCTTGGTGGAACATGAAACTGTAAAAGCAGACTAGTAAACAATTTGCCAAAAGTACCTTCTCAACTTCCAAACCATGTTGTCTCTAATTGACAACCCATCTCAGTTAAGGCTGTACACTCACGTAAGGAACAGAAACATAAACAGTTGTGTGATTATCAGATATGTATAATAATGTTTACTTTTATGATATAAAGTACATGTCACTGATGTCTCTTTGTCTGTCCATTTTGGCGTTTGGAATTGTTAATTTACTGCAACACCATTTGTGTTTTTTATGGATTCCAATTGTAGGGATGTCGTCTAACCCAAAACTCTTGTGAATTGTTTTTGTGATTACTGATGGCCAGGAGAACTACAGTCCCAGCATTTTCCAATGAACTGTTGGACTGGCATTTTTAAAAGTTGGTAAGTAATATAGTTAAGGCAAGATAATTTTATGGATGACAAGTTCTTTATTCTATCATGATGCAGCATTTCGATACAGATCCTTATGCTGTTGTCAAGCAAGAGTGAAGAAAGACATACTTACTTACTTACTTTGGAGATTTAACGTGCGCTTTCCGACTGATACGTATTTCGCACACGGGCCCGGCCAGGCCATTTAATGTGTTTCCGAAAGGGGCGAAGGTGGTCTGTGCAAACCAAGAGGGGGCTTTAGGGGTTGCTTATATAGAATTTGGGAATTTTGAGATTTGGAATAGATGCCGATGGGGTTGGGGGGGGAGAACTAAGGGAGCTGGGTATGGTGGATGTTTGTTTGTTTATGTGATTTTGATTTGGTAGATTATTGTGTTTTTAGATGCCTTTTATTAGTTCCGTTATGATTAAGAATACGCCTAAGGCCTTGAAGTTTTTCTTTTTATTTTGTGGGTTTAGTATTGCTTCTAGAGTGAGAGCCTTGTTTAGATTGAGGTTTGTTTGTAATGCGGTTCGATGTGTTAGGTAGTGTGTGCAGTGGATGAGTGCGTGTTCTGGGGTTTCTAGTTGTTTGCAGTGTGGGCAGTTACCTGTAGTGTGTTTTTTTTAAGAATTTAGGTGGTTATTTAGGTTGGTGTGTCCTGTTTGGAGTTTAGTGATTACTCTGTCGATTTTTTTTTGATGGATGGAGAATTTTTGGTTTGCTGAGTACTTTTTTGATTTGGCTATTTGAGTTTAGATATAGGTTATGCCATTTTTTGGTGATTATAATGCTGGGGGATATAGCGATCAGCCAGTCTGTCTGTCTGTCCGTCTGTCCGTCCGTAATCATTTCCTTTTCCGGGGCAGAATTCGAAAACCATTCAGTGTATTTGATCGAAACTTGGCAAATCTATCAGGCACATACTGAAGTGGTGCCTTTTGATATTTTGGGATTTTTCTAATTTTTATTTTTTTAAATTTTTATGGAATGAAGTTGGACATAGACTCAATTGGGGATGGGGTTTGTTTCCGGGGCAAAATTCGAAAACCATTCAGTGTATTTGATCGAAACTTGGCAAATCTATGAGGCACATACTGAAGTGGTGCCTTTTGATATTTATTTTTTTTACGAATTTTTATTTTTTAAAATTTTTATGGAATGAAGTTGGACATAGACTCCATTGGGGAACGGGTTCGTTTCCGGCCAGAATTCGAAAACCATTCAGTGGGTAAACAATGTATGCTTCTTAAAGAACATTCAACTGTTGACTCATTACATACAGAATTGCAGATTTACTAGTGGTTACTTTACAGACAGCTGCCTGGGGGATATGTCATCTTTCTGATGACTCTTGTTTGCTTGTTTACACTTTTAATTTCTGATTTTGAGATGGGTAAGTTTAAGCTTATTTCTGGGATTTTAAGGGATAGTTTAGCTGCTTTATCGGCGTTTTCATTACCGTATATTCCTACGTCGGCGGGTATCCACAAGAAGGTTATTTGTTTGCCTGCCTTAGTTAGGTTGTTGGAGCTTTTAAGTATTTGATTTATTAATTTAGGTCGGTTTTTGGTATTTTTGTTTTGGAGGGCTCGCAGTCCACTTAGCGAGTCGGTAAGTATTAGAATCTTTTTTGTGGTTTTTGGATTCTTGATTATGGAGGGCCGAGGCCATGCCCATTAGTTCTGCCGTGAATATTGATTGGTTGTTTTGGAGTCGGAAGGATTGTGTGGTTTTAGTTGGTTGTGTGGTATGGACTCCGAAACCTGTGTGTTTGGAGGTCGGATCTGAATATCCGTCCGTGTAAATGTGACACCAATTTGGCCAATTTTCGTGTATGTATGCTAGTGTGGTGGTTTTAGCTATGTTTGGGTCGGTTTGTTTATTTATTTGGCTAGCTAGTGTTGTGTCTATTTTGGGTATTTTAAGTTTAGGGGTGAAGATATTTGATTGTTTGCAGTTTTGTTTAAGATTTTTAATTTGGTGTTCATTTAGCTAGTTTGTTATTCTTTGGGATATTGGGGTAAGTAAGGGTTGTTTACGAGCTAGAGCTTGGTTTTTGGGGCTGATGTTTTGGTTTATTAAGTTTTGGATGAGAGGGTTCGATTGGGACGCGGCCCAGAAATTTAAGCTTAGCTTTCTCTGCGTAGACTTAGTGGCATTTCTCCTGTTAAGGCCTGAAGTGAAGTGTAGGAGGTGCCATGTTGGGTGCGTGTAATTAGTTTGAGAGCCTGATATTGTATTGAGTCAAGTTTTTTAGATAGAGAGTTGTTTAGGGTGTTGTATATGGCGCAGCCGTAGTCTAATTTTGATCTAATTAGTGATATGTAGAGAGAGAGGAGGGTATCTTTGGAGGCTCCCCAGTTAGAGCCAGTTAGGCATCTTAGGGTGTTTAGGTCTTTACTGCATTTAGTTGTTAGGTTTTGGATGTGAGCATCCCAGGTGAGATGTTCATCGAAAATAAGTCCTAAGAATTTGGTTTGTTTTTGAAATTTGATTGTTTGGTTGTTTAGCTGGAGGATTGGGGAGGCGGGTTTCATGTTTTTATGTTTGAATACTATTCCTGTTGTTTTTTCTGAGTTAAGGGAGAAGCCCCATTTGTCAGTCCATTGTTGTATTTTATTAAGAGATTTTTGGAGTAAATTGAAGAAAGACAGCACAGTACAGGCTTATATACATGTTATAATGATTAACAAAAACAATGTGAGAGTATATATGAAAAGGATTGACAACAACAAAGCATAATGGTTGATTGATGTAGTAAAAACAGAAAAAAGCTAATAATGATAGAAAGAAGCCATCTGTACATGGTACAAATATGCAATGCTGATTGGATTAGTTAGAGGTGATAGCTGGAGCAGTCTGTTGTTTTATCAATTCATTGTTGGCGGATGGGATTAGGTATCCTAGATCTCTGTTGATTGATTGGCTTGTGTCGGCAGATTTGAACTGCTTCTGCTAGTTTTCATTTGGTGAAGCCATGGAGACTGTTTGATACATTGTACATTGTCCCATATGATACTGTGATTAGGGCAGTTGATGATGTGGTCTGAGATGCCTGATTTTTGGTTTGACTTGGTGGTAGATGTTTTATGTTCTCTTATTCTGACTCTTATTGGGCGGGAAGTTTCACCTGCATAGGCGTTGCCGCAGCCACAACTGATATTAGGTGTTGTCTACAAAATCAGTTGTGCCTGCGGCAACTGTGACTGTTCTGTCTTACTTCACTATTGCTTGACAACAGTATAAGGATCTATACTGAAACGTTGCATCATAACAGAAAAAAGAAGTTGTCATCCATAAAATATCTTGTCTTTAATATTCCAATATGAGAAACCTATTCCAATACTTGAAAATGATATGCAATCTTTCTGTAAAATTTGGCCACTTGGTGTAGGCATTTTACATTAAATGATAAAGACTTTTATAATATTGTTAGAATATTTAAAATTAATATATTTAGCTAACTGCATGAGTTATCAGATATGAACCATTAATGATCGTACTAATCCAATTACATATATTATGATATTTCAGTTATTTGACCAGATACCACTTTACGTCACAATGCCTGAAGTATTTTGGCTCACCAGACTGAAACTCAAGTGAGCTTTTGTCATGTCCTTGTCGTCATTCAACATCAATGCATGTCTTGAACATCAGGATTTTTTATCACAAATCACTGGACCAATCAACCTGAAACTTTGCATGAATGTTCCAAATGATGACACCTGACTATGTTTGATAGGTTCAAGTTCTGTTTGTTAATATGGTCATTCTGGCAGCCATATATAAAAATACCCCATCTTTTTTCAAAATGCAATGAGATTTGTTTCTCATGTGATTAGTATTGGGACTCAACATTCATATGTTTTGGGCAATGTTATGAATATTGACCTTGATGTTGTAACTTTTGATTTTGGGCCTTCTCGGGAAGGAAACCCACAAGTCTACAGGGCGTGAACTGATAGGACATTTATTGTCCTGGGACAAATCCACCAGTGTACATTTCCTCCTGTACATAAAATCCTAAAACAATGTTGTTGGGAGCATGATATTCATACACATGCTTTTTAATGTGAACAGCACACTATGATTGTTTAGCTGTCATGAAAACACTTTTGTGTAATCATAAATAATGCTTACGCAATGCCAAGGCTGGCTGAAAATCAATATCTTCGCATCATGGGTATGCTGCAAACAGCAATGGCACAAGAGTTGCCAGACATTTGAATGTTGATCTAAAATAAATTTACTCTCTTTGGAGACATTATCTACAGCAAGGGGACACTCAAGACTTGCCATAGGTCAGTCATCCACAAGACGGCCATATTTGGTTGATCCATCTTCAAGATCGATACTGCCATATTAACAGCTTGGACAATTCTTGGGTTGAGACCAAAGAGTGGCAGAACCGTATGCAGCTGGTTGAGGGAGCACAACATTCGGCCCCAATGTCCAGCAATATGACCAAGTTTGCTTCAATCATCTCGTGTCTTCAAAGCACCGCTGCTGCCTCGCCTCTATCAACTCAAATGATGGTCACACCCGAAAATGACATTCTTTATAGAGTTGTTAAAACCAGTCCTCTTTAAGGGCATGTCGCTGTGTCCTGTTACCAGGTATGGGTTTTGTCAATGAATTTGTTGAATGATAAAACATGGATCAGACAAATGACCAAATGTTATGTTATTATTTTCAATAACATAACATTTACACCACTTTTTATGAAGCACAAATACTTTTTTCCGCCAGTATAATATTAAACAGCTACTTGGTACGTGGGTCTTGGTTTACACATGAAACAACA